TAAAAAATAAATTAAAAAAGACAAGGATTATCTTCCACAAAAATGAACAAAACGATTTTTAAAGAACCTCAACTGAACGTTAAGGGTGTTACATGTGATGTCTTAACCATTGTTACCTTCCTATTACCTTGTTTTGAAATTTTTTCCTCTTTAAAAAAAAAAAAGAAAAATAGGTATAGGGCTGGCCAAATAGCTCAGCAGATTAAAGTACCTGCTTAGGCAGATGCAGAGGCTGGGAGTTCATCCCAGGCCTGCCGTGCCGGCCCCGCCCCTGGGACACACTAAAACAGTGACTCAGACTGGACATAGTGGCGCACCTGTAATCCCAACACTTGGAAGGCTGTAAACAGGAGGATCGCTATGAGTCCAATCTACACAGTGAGACCCTGTACACCCTGGCCTAAATAAAAAAAAAAAAAAAAATATGAAAGTCAGAGATTTTTAAAAATATATACAAGCCACTAATCATTGTGGCTTGTCAGGGTTTTTTATGTATGTGCTAGGGATTCAATGAAAGGTCTTATACTTGAGACAGGGTCTTGCTATGTAGTTCATGCTGACCTTGAATTCCCTATGTAGGGGAGGCTGACTTCATACAATGATCCTCCCGCCTCAGCCTTCTAAGTGCTGGGATTACAAGCATGCACCACTACACCCAGCCTCTATCATTTTTTTTTTTTTTTTTTGCGGAACCGTGATTGAACTCAGGCCCTTAAGCCATCTCCCCGGCCCCATGTAGCAATCCTTTAAGTAATAACATCTATGAAACAAGTTTTGATGTTCTAGGTTTTATTTTTTTACCTCACAGCAAAATAAACACATACTTGAAAAAAAAATGTCATTATATCATCACCAGGCACCAAGCTTTATATCACACAGAGGATATTCCTAGTCTCTGCAGTATTCTAGGAAAAATGTAGAGTAAGAAATAATTTGAGAGGCCAGGGAGATGGCTCAGTGGAATAAGCGCTTCCCTGGCAAGCGCAAGGGCCTGAGTTCAATCCCCG